TCAATGGGGCATGGTGTCAAGTTAGCACTACATACAAAATTTTGTTCGAAAAAGGCTCAACTCAATTTTTTACAGAAAAACGCAAGCTACACATTTTTTCTTTCCACAACAAATTTTAAAGTTAAAAGCTACAATTAATGGCATAGTAACATATTGGATATCTCAATTCTATCGACTAGGTGTATGGTGTCAAGTTAGCACTACATACCATTTTTTCTTAAAAAACGAGAGCTACAAATTTTTTCTTTCCACAACAAATTTACAACAAAAAAGCTACAATTAATGCCGTTGTAACCTTTTCAATATCTCAATTCTGTCGTCAATGGGGCATGGTGTCAAGTTAGCACTACATACTAAATTTTGTTCGAAAAAGGGTCAACTCAATTTTTTCCAGAAAAACGAAAGCTACAAATTTTTTCTTTCCACATNGTTAACTTTTCCAATTTCGAAAAGTGTAGTGCTAACTTGACACACGTCATGGCGGAATTATACCAGGTGAAGTAATTAGAGCGAGAAGAAAGATTTTGACACTGCTTTATTTGAAAAATCGCCTTTAAAATTTGACTATAAGGCAGCTAAATGTCAGAAAACAAAGCAAGAAAGCGGTTTTATTACTTCACCTGCTTATTGCGCCATGGATTAGAGCTACAAATTTTTTCTTCCTACAACAAATTTACAAAAAAAAGCAACTATTAATGCCATAGTTAGCTTTCCCAATTTCGAAAAGTGTAGTGCTAACTTGACAGTCGTAAATATTAAATGTAGTAGTGAAATAGTGAAAATACTTTTCATGAAACAATAAGCGTATACATTTTACTAGTGAATCAATAGTGGCGACTGGACATTCAGTGTGTTTATAAAGATCAAAATGTTCATTTACATGATTCAACTCTCACAGGCGATTAGTTCAACCAAAAGTTGAACAAAAGTAGGCAGCTGGCCAACTTCATTGAAAGCGATTAGGCGGAAGGCCATTTACACCAGAAAACGGCTACATTTAGCTAAAAATTGCCTGTAAAATGGACTCATGTAATTTCCTCATAAACTCATATCAAAATGCTTTTTTTTAGTTGGGATAGTATTTTAATGAGCTATATGAATGTATGTATGTATGTATGTAAATGACTTCTAATTTCCACTTACAGCACTCCTGAACATCGTGTGCATACAAACGTTCCAATTGTCATGTTGACGTATGTTGGGCCCTTTTGGCCACAGTCGAAGCATTGCCGATTGCCACCACCATATGTCACCAACTCTCGCAGCACCTGCAGAAACTTGTCATCTTGTTTCTTGGGAGCCGCAGCAGCCATGTCCGTACTTTTTGTCAAATACTTTAACCTTAAAGCCAAAAGCGAATGGATAATGGATGGTTGTTTTTGATTTTCTTTCTGTGTGGATTTGATGTGTCTTTGGCTGCTGTGTCTAACTCATTGTCACCGTCAGATGCTACAAATTGCTCTGTATCCGATGGTGGATTAGAGACGGCACGCACTTAGGGAACCGTAGCCTTGGAATGTAATGAAGATTTGTAAACAAAAACGAATTGAATTTCGTTGCCTGTTTGGATTTTTTTTTAGTATTGACAGCAGGCAAGCATACATACATATGTATACACCTTCATACATGTGGAGGTACATATCGATGGCTGAGTGGAAGATCGACCTATCTCGGCAGCCAGTTCGAAAACGCTCTATCTCAAAAAACTTTTCAAGAACGCCTTATTTCAGAATTCGTTTCAAAAACGCCCTATATCAGCATATTTTCAACACATTTTGAAGTGAGATAGGGCGTTTTTGAACCGAATTTTGAGATAGGGTGTTTTTCAATTAAATTCTGAAATAGGGCGTTCTTGAAAAGTTTTTTGAGATAGAGCGCTTTCGAACTGGCTGCCGAGATAGGTCGATCTTCCACTCAGCCATCGATATATAACTATACTATGAATATGAAAGATACGCATATAATATATATATTTTTTAATATTATCTAAATCGTCGTTTAAAGTGCAAAACCGCCTATCGTCGTTTTGCAAAACCGCGTAACTGACATTTGTAACTGAGATTTGCTCATAGGAAGCTCCAGGCATAAAACCTTATCTATTCATACCAATATATCGATATTAAACCATGTACAGCAAAATAACAGCATAGTTGCAATCCCGCTGATCAAGAGTAGCATATCACCCGTATGCTGTAATCCGAAAGTTCGTAGTTACGAATTCGTAGCTCCGTTCCGAAAATTCGAAAATTGGTATGCTGTAACCCGATCGCAACTTTCAACGGCGTTGCCAAGTAAAATAGTGAAATTCGAAGATGTGAAATTCCAAATAAATATAATCGCAAGTGAACAGTGAAATTTAAAAAATTGTTTAATCGTATTTGAAATTTTATTTTTTTTATATTTTTTTAAGTTTAGTTAGGTAAAATATAATGGATTCAGTGGCCGATGCACTTTTGTTTCAGGAGGAAGGGGTACCGTTTAGTACCTAGTCTAACTATTTCGAGGTATTGCGCCCAAAGGAGTGACCCGATCCAAAAAAAAAATTGCACACACTTGTAATGTGCAGACCACATTATTTTAAACCTGCTTTTGTAATTTTTGGTCACTAATTTATTTACAAATTGGGTTTTATATATGCCGTTTTTTGTAAAATTTGGAAATGAGCGTACATTTATCACTCCTATTCTCCTTAAAGCAGCCACTTCACCAATATACCCTACAAGACGCGATTGACAGAAACTCCAACACATTCACAACGAAAACTAACACATATGCAAAATTGTATATGCCAGTTTGGCTCTGTAGGGCCGTGGTTACGCCACCGATTTCGATTGGCAATCACCGTGCAATTGTTGTTGTGCACAGCACGGAGTGAGAGAATTTTCGAAATCGAACAGCCAGCACGATTTTCTGGGTGAACCGAACAGCCAGCACGCCAATTTCTCAGGGTGGCAATACGCTATTTTGCGAAAAAGTATTAGTATTAAATATAAGAATAGTAAAAAATATTATTATTATTATTATAAAGCAGATATTATACNAAGTTCGTAGTTACGAATTCGTAGCTCCGTTCCGAAAATTCGAAAATTGGTATGCTGTAACCCGATCGCAACTTTCAACGGCGTTGCCAAGTAAAATAGTGAAATTCGAAGATGTGAAATTCCAAATAAATATAATCGCAAGTGAACAGTGAAATTTAAAAAATTGTTTAATCGTATTTGAAATTTTATTTTTTTTATATTTTTTTAAGTTTAGTTAGGTAAAATATAATGGATTCAGTGGCCGATGCACTTTTGTTTCAGGAGGAAGGGGTACCGTTTAGTACCTAGTCTAACTATTTCGAGGTATTGCGCCCAAAGGAGTGACCCGATCCAAAAAAAAAATTGCACACACTTGTAATGTGCAGACCACATTATTTTAAACCTGCTTTTGTAATTTTTGGTCACTAATTTATTTACAAATTGGGTTTTATATATGCCGTTTTTTGTAAAATTTGGAAATGAGCGTACATTTATCACTCCTATTCTCCTTAAAGCAGCCACTTCACCAATATACCCTACAAGACGCGATTGACAGAAACTCCAACACATTCACAACGAAAACTAACACATATGCAAAATTGTATATGCCAGTTTGGCTCTGTAGGGCCGTGGTTACGCCACCGATTTCGATTGGCAATCACCGTGCAATTGTTGTTGTGCACAGCACGGAGTGAGAGAATTTTCGAAATCGAACAGCCAGCACGATTTTCTGGGTGAACCGAACAGCCAGCACGCCAATTTCTCAGGGTGGCAATACGCTATTTTGCGAAAAAGTATTAGTATTAAATATAAGAATAGTAAAAAATATTATTATTATTATTATAAAGCAGATATTATACAAAATATTATTATAAAAATTAAATATTAAAGAAAGAAAAAATATTAAGTTGTTCTTCCATTTTTCATTTTCTGAGTTAAATTTTGATACGTGTTTAGTTGCATTTTTACTTCAGTGCTGCCATTGTGTGCGAAATTGTATGAAATGGAAAAAGGCATTTCTTAAGAAGCAGCCCTGTGCTCGCCAATCAGCAAACAGAGCGTAACCACTTCTCACCACTCACCGAAATTTTTCTCTATTGATTGCCAATTAAAATTGGTGGCATAACCACGGCCTAGGGAATGACTATCATTTGATCGATCAAGTGAGTGTCAATGCTGATAGTNTACTGGTTGACACAATCCTACGAGGTAATATGTACACATATTAGGGACACCACAANCTGCATTTTGTGCTCAACAAAAGTAGTTGTACCTGCCAAATAATGTCGAGCACTGAAGTACTTGGATATAATTTTGAACTTAATTAGTTTAATTTTAATTTTATCATTATTCGACCCCGCTCATGGCAAAAGTAAGTAAAAATAAAAGTTTTCATTGTGGTATGACATTCTTTTTGTATATAAACGTAATAAATAAAACCGTATTATAAAGTACTTGGTACTGCNTATATAAACCTTTTTAACATACTTTGTCAAAAGTTCTCAAAAATCGACGCAAGTTCTTAAATAAATGGTCAAAACGTATAGATAAATAGTATCCCTAATTATGTGGCCACTACCGTATATGTACATATGTACATATCTTTTAACAATACAAATTTGTTGGTAATCTATTTCAATCCACTTAGATGCATTTAAAAAGAGAGATCCTGTTGAGTTCGAAAAGAATTCAGGAAGGCAATTGAGCTCAATGTAATGTATAATATTAGGATATTAGATTTAAGTATGTACATATGTACGTTTGTGGCAAAAATAATAGAAACGTCTTATTTTGCTTAATTTTTGGCCACATTTCCTTTGTTTATTAATTTTTTATGTACTGTGCTTAAGGTAATGTATTTAGCTTATAATTTGATGTAATGTACTTAGCTTCTAATTTTTTGACGATCAATAATTAGTTCATAAGATTTTATGAAAATAAAAGAAAAAACATATATTACATGTGTCATTAATGATAGATTTCTATATCGTGGGAGAGAGATCAGACTAGACGAATTTTAACATCAGGTTTACCACACAGAAAGGGAATTCTAGTTACCTCATCCTTTCCCAAGGCAAGGCGGTAGCCCCAGTTGGGGGAAAATTTTAGTTTGGCATCCCCCGCGTACAAAAAAAATGTGGCTATGGGGGGTAGAGGGAGTTCTCCTGATTGCAAATATATATACTTTTAGCCGCCGGAGGCTTATAGTTTTTAAGTTATTTGTTGTTAAAGTTTGTAAATTGAACTAACCTCTCGGCGCTATTTCACACAATAAACACTATATTTATGAAAACACTTCGGCAAAATAGTTGCATTGAAATGAAATATAAACATATTTTTTACATTTATGATGTATTTTTAGTAAATTAAGTAAGTTTTTATAATTATCACTGCTAGCTGTGCGCGCTTCCTCTCCGCAACGCCTGGGTTCAAGCCCAGGTCAAAGCAACATCGCAAAAAGTATAGAAAAAGGTTTTTTCTTAACAGCGGTCGTCCCTCGGCAGGCAATGGCAAACCATGCCATGAAAAGAAGCTTCTCGTAAAAATACAATCGCCGTTCGGAGTCGGCGTAAAACTGTAGGTCCCTCCGCTCTGTGTGACAACATCAAGGCGCACGCCACAAATTGGAGGAGAAGCTCGGCCAAACACTAACATATGTGTAAGCGCCAATCTATTATTATTATAATTATCACGCACTTATATATGTATACGCACATTGTGAATACAGAACTGTTCATGAACGAAAGACACAAGATCACGCCTTCCCGAAAGAAAGAAAAAAGTTTTTTTTTAGCTGTTGAAATCTCGACGCCATCTTTGTTGTAAGTAAACAACGAAGAAAACAAAAAAAAAACCGCTTAATTGTTGAACGCATGAATAATCATTTTTATTATGCAAATTCTTCTATAAATCATGTAGTTGTGTTAAATTATTCTTTACCTTATGTGTGCACACGTCACAAGCGAAAATTAAGAAAATTGCAGTAAAAAGCCACCACCAAATTGTAAACAACGAACAAATGTAAACAAACGGCTAATGTCAAAGTCGCCCAACTTTTTTCCTAAATGCGATTATAACGGGCTACTAAGAAGAAGGCGTGATCTTGTATTTTTGGTTCATAATATTATTATTTTTAATAAGAGCAATGTACGTATTGTACACTTATACTCCCTAATTATACGCACTTATTTGTGATGTATTTTTTTTTAACCGCACTTAGGGATCATTACCCTCAGGCAGTAGAATTCTCCTTTGTTTTGCGAAGAAAAGGAGCTGAACACCTTTTCAGAGAACACCTTTGTATATTTTTAATGCTTACTGGGTTATATCGTATCTCCTTTTGTCTCTCATTCTTTTGCATATTTTGGAGTTTGACAACTGAACTCCGCCATTTAATTTGCATATGCAACCAAAGTCAGACGCGTGATTTTGAAGGTGTTTTTATTTAATGAATTGTGATTAATTGGTTAATATTAAAGTCGTAAAGCAAGTTATAACTAATCGAGTAAAGTGTAAAGTGAAGGGGAGTACAAAAAAGGA